TTAATACCATACAACTCAAATTATCAACCTATCGCAAAATTAAAAATATCGCACGAGAAAATAAATTTATGCGGCCTCACAAATCGATGGGTTGTGGAAATTGTTCACGATGGGCAATTGAACTCGTATTGGTTTTGTTTGAAATTACTTTCGAAATCAACGTAGCATTATCGTTTTGTATTGGTTTAAGGTAGATATATATCTGTCTGTTTAAAATCTGTATTTCCGTTAATCAGCTGTCGCCCCCATACGAACGACAACTCTCAGAAGTTAACAAACTTGTGCGAGTTAAGGACTAACGAGGTCTTACCTTTTAACGTGTGATTCCTAACACGTACTTGACTATTTCATGTACCTGACTATTTCAAAATTAAAATCGATACTTGTGAATATGCTTTTTTCAGTAAATTTAATCGAAGGTCATCAATATTACTAGTTATAAGCCGATATGAAAATTGACAAATAAATGTAGACATGTATGTCTTCTTCTCGTGCGAAGCCGAGAAGGCTGCTAGTAATAAATAAAATAATAAATTTGAATTTGAAAATTGAATAAATTGGAAATTTAACTTTTTGGACGATTTCCAAGCGGTTTCGTAATTCCCACATATTACATCAACTAAAGTTTTCAAAAAACGTCAAATAACTAAATGATTTAATTTGTAAAGTATGCAAATTCACCCCGCAATCATCTGATTGATTAGCAGCATTTATAATAATCACCATTCCAAAATACATTTTGTGAAGATAGTAATTTGAAATTATAATCTGATTGCGGCATATTTATAACTTGCAATAGTGACTGTTTTGATGAAGATGGTGGCAATTATCGAGTTACTACAAATCAACAATTACTTGCAGAGTTTCGAATAACAGAAATGAATATATTTCTGCAATGAATAATTGCCAGCTTAGCCATTTCAGTAACAATTTTGATTGGCAATANCATTTTCAATTCTTCTTTTTTAGTTGTTTCAGGGATTTCAAATCATTTTATATAGTAGACAATGGAAGTCCAAACTAGTGAAATTCATTAAATTTTTTACTCTTGTAGTCTCTGAGGTTAGGATAACTGAAAAAGGGAAAATCAATATTGTGCCACCTGAGGCGATTTTTGTGAAGAACAAATCAGAATATTTGCTTGAAAATTACATAGACACAGATGACGTAGCATATTTAAAAAAATACACCATCGAACGTGAAATCACAGATAGTTAGTAGCAGTACCGAAATACCAAAGATGTTCTATCTTGTAAAAGTCTAATTCAGATTATATTTTCCTCTTTTCCTACGGATTATCTGTGACGAGATTTCCATCCATCATTACTGAATAGTATCACCAGAATTTTCTGTTCAATGGTTCAATTGCAACAAAAGCCTTAGTAAAAGCAAATCTACCAGCTGAACAATTTGCGTTCCACTCCACAGTCGATTTTCTGGGAAAGGCATCAACTACTATTCCCACTAGAATCCACAATACCTGAAATTACTTTTCGACAGCGTCTAGTTAGGCGAATTTTAAAAAAGCTCAATATAAACAAGGCGTCTGGCCCTGATGAAGTACCCGTCGTCGTACTCAAAAAGTGCGCAAAAATCATGGAGGAAGTCGTAAACCACCATATCCTCAAATATTTGGAAGGTTTCAACATCAATGTGGCTTTCGGAAACAAAGATCAACAGGCGACCTTCTATAGTTATATCACACATATTTGGAATAACGAATCGAGAAACATGAAGAATCAAGAGCTGTTGCGCTTTATATTTCTAAGGCTTTTGACCGTGTGTGGTATGAGGGTTTGCTGGCCAAACTTCGATGCTTTGGTTTGTCGGAAAATTTTGTGTATGGCTCTTCAGCTACCAGAAAGAACGTCCCCTGCAAGTTGCCGTCGATTAATATCTCTCGAATACTTTCACCATCAACGCTGGTGTTCCCCAGGGATCCATATTCCACATAAACTGCGAAAAAATCCCAAATGGATTCAATATCCAGCCATTCAAATCCAATGTGAATTGCAACTTTCTCACAGGCACCGCTTTCAGAGCGGCTTAATGGTTTTCATGTAGTGCTTGTGTTTTATTCTTAAAAAAAACACCTCGTGAAGTGCGTTCTTTGGCAATGTTTGAAGCCAACTGAAAAAATGATATTTTAACATTATGAAAAACGGTTCCATAATTCACAACTACGTCTTTTTCAGATCTTTTCTATAACAAATACCACTTCCATCTACTGGTATCTAATATTCATTTACTATGTTACAATAAATTGAAAAACAAAAATACTATTATTTCTGTGTGATCAAAAATGTAAAATTTCATTTTGATTAGAAGTTATCTTTGAAAAGTATCACTTTTATTATTTATTTGCACTGAAAAATGTGCACGTTTGAAACTCTTCCTTTACTTGTAAAATATCGAATGCGGTGAGTGGGCAAGTGCGCCTCTGATAGTCAGTGGAAGGCTTTTTTGACTACAATTTTCCAGATGACGAGACACTCAATATTACTTTTGTACTTAAAATTATTTGATTTAATACAACATGAGGGAGGAGTTCAAAAGTTACAAGAAATCTGAAAATATACTGGTTTTCTCAACTAAGTTCCGGAGACGATAAGAGTAAATTCAGAATACTCTGACTCTGGCCCTGAAAACAAAAATACGTGATTATTTCTATAGTGACAACCTTTTTGGGTTACCGACTGATGATTTTGCTATCTTCTATTCGATCATGAAGCAGATTCATTTTAATTCAACATGACTCGACGAATTGTGAAATAAATCGTTTTGGACGTTTTTGGAGGTCGTTAGCATACGTTTTGACTCTTTGTTGAAGTTCAATTTCCTGTAACGAAGATGATTAGGAGAAGCAAGCGGATATTATTCAAACACGTGAGTACTTGAAATACGAATTTATTTAGAGAGACGAAATACTGTTTTTGGTTGGTTTAAAAATTGAAAGATAATTTGTCATGAATGAGAAATTGGAAATTATTTAAAAAATATTTATGGCTTGCATTCTTCGACAACATACATTTTTTCATTCAATGGGTTTCGTATACTAGGAAACTAACACAAACGCCAAAGACAGATTGTCGAATATTGTCCTTCAAGAGAACGATAATATAGGCTGAGGTTTTTTTAATGGCACCAGCTCATTTCAAATAACACTAATACTATTTGCAATACTCCAAAATCCCATTGATATGGACGAAATGAATATATATTTCATGTACACATGTACATGGTATGCCATATGAAAAATTTCTACTTTGTATTTGAAAATAAATCGAAGATTATGTTTAAAAAATATTTTTTCACGTTTGCTACTACTACATTTTTTTTCAAAAACTAGTTCAAATTATGAATGAAATTGATTGATGAAAATTAATGAAACTATACATGATAATAATAATACTATTTCCACTGTAGCAGTCCACGGATTTTAAATGAAATGCATTATGAAAATTGTATCATTTCCATCATGGATAAATAATTTCCACTGATGAAAAAAAAAATCTCAAAAACTTTTCCGAAATACTTTTGATATGAGTTATATTTCTCAATAAATTAATTATGCTTCCCCATTACTATTTC